AGGATATTGGACTCCAGACAACGCAAGTTCAACTTCACGACGAAGGGACCGCTGGTTGTCAATAAACAAATTCAGGGCCAATTTTAACTTCACAACGAAGGATATTGGACTCCAGACAACGCAAGTTCAACTTCACGACGAAGGGACCGCTGGTTGTCAACAAACATTTCTCAAATTCAAAGCCAATTTCAACTTCACAACGAAGGATATTGGACTCCAGACAACGCAAGTTCAACTTCACGACGAAGGGACCGCTGGTTGTCAACAAACATTTCTCAAATTCAGAGCCAATTTCAACTTCACAACGAAAGATATTGGACTCCAGACAACGCAAGTTCAACTTCACGACGAAGGGACCACTGGTTGTCAACAAACATTTCTCAAATTTAGAGCCAATTTCAACTTCACAACGAAGGATATTGGGCTCGGAACAATACTTGGATTTCAACTTCACGACAAAGGATATCCAATTCTCAGGCTCAGCTTCACAACGGAGGGTCCATATACATATACAACTTCACAACGAAGGGTATCGTACCCTAACAGGTTGACCTAACTTCAAGACGAATGAGTCATCTGCGACACATCAACACCGAAGTCTCTAAGTCGAGTTTCACCATCATGACAAAGTATCTTGAGCCAGAAGATGATCTAGGAGCCACTTGCCAAAAGCTTTGAGTTCGATTTCAACTTCACGACGAAGGATATCGTGCTCAGAAGTTTCCAGTTCAACTCAACCTCACGACGAGGGAGTCATTTTGTGATTTAAACCAGTTTCAATATTGAATTTTAACTCTACGACAGAGAGTATTCGATATGGCCGAAATTTGCGTCTCTTAATCTTTGCTCTATTTTCGTTACACAACAATGAACAAAGAGGGGTAGCTGTAGACGCTTTATTTCGACCTTATAATAATATATTATTTATTTATTTATTTATTTTACAGGCCCAAGGAACTACAAAGCCCAACAGAAGATTCTGGTCCAACCCAGGTCCAAAACACGTAACAGATTAGGGGTCCCCAGAACCCTAGCTCACTCCACTCTTGTTCCAGCCGCCAGCAATAGTGACCGTTGGATCTAGGTGAGATCCAACGGTCCACAGCAAAGGTATCCGGGTAGCCTCCAAACCCTAGCCAAGGTTCCAGCCGCGCCTCACGCCCCCTTCAACCTCCCACGGCCGCACGTCTCTCAATAACGTCAGATTTCTCGTCCCTCACCAACGGCATGCATATGTGAAACACATCAACAACCCAAACACATTAGAGTTCTAATTTAACTAGGAGTCTAAAAATAGGATTTTCTTTTGTTATAAATAAGTGTAAACCCAAGCATTTGGGGGGGACGGTTGATACAGAATACAAAACACAAATTACACAAAAACTACGAACACACACATAAAGTTACCATAGCAAGCACAAAGAAAGTCGGAACACTTGTACAACATTTCGAAACAAGAAAAAAAAGCAAGGTATATTGTTGTTTACCTTTTCGTTCGCTTGATCCTTTGCATGTCAAGTTTATCGTCCACCGTGTTGTTTTGAGTCGAAAGTAAGCAAATAGAGAAGATTTTTGCCGATGAAAAGGCGTTTTCGTTCGATATTATTTTTGTAGATCTACGAAAACCCGAGGCCTTTTTTGAAAAACCAACTTGATTTTCAAAACGAGGAGGAGAAAAACTCCTGGAAAAATAAATATTTTCGTGATTTTGCCGCCGACGGCGGCGAGGCGGCTTGCGGCGGTTGATGGCCGGTTTCTGGAAACTCACCCTGTTCTTGAAATTCAAGAACAAACCAGAGAAAAGGGAGAGAAGAAGAGAAAGGGCGTTCTGTTTGGAGAGAAGGAAATAAATAAAATTTTAAACCCAGATTTTGACACATATACACCCCGGAACCCGCGTGTTTTTAAAGAAAATGGGGTAAACTACCCTTTTGGTCCCTCGCTGCTTTTAAAGAATTATTTTGACCCCAAATTTGCTTTTGAATTGGTCTCTAATTCTGATTTTCTTTCAATTTAGCCACCCAACTTGTTTTTGATTCAATTTAATACTTATACTAACCTTTTTATTATTCATATCATGTAATTATATATATATATATATATACACGTATTTTCTATATATTTCATCTATATACTTAGTGTTAATACATATATATTATTTTAATTAACTTTTTGGTCATTTCTTTATCTAGCTACTACATCTTATAATTTTATATGTTATATATGTATTTTTTTTATTATTTACCAACCTTACTCATTTTATCTTATAATTATATTTCTATTAACATTTTATTTTTTGTATTTATGTATGTATATATATATATATCATTTACCTATTATTGATATTTTCCTTTTTAATACTTTAATATATATATTCTCGTTTCATTCATTAATTATTTATTCCATTTTTATTTTATTTATTTCCCCCTTTTACTTTTTATTATTATTATTATTATTTTTATATTATTTTACTTTATGTATATTTGCCTCTGTTTTTGTTTCTGTCATTTTTTTTGATGTATTCATTTTAATTATGCCATTTATTCTTTATCTTCAATATTTCTTTTGATTATGCGTTTCGTTTTCCTTCTTTATCTTATTGTCTCTATTTTTATTTGTTCTCCTCACCGTTTGCCCTAATGTTATTTTCACGACTTTTTAAGGGTATTTCCGCAAACTATTAAAGGTAAGTAGTTTGGATCGACATTTTTTTTACCTTTTAATTTAAAATTACAAGTTTCTTAATTAAAGACAACTGGAAATTACGTAGTACCGAAAGGGCGGTTCAAGGGTGCTAATCCTTCCTTGACCGTAACCGACTCCCGAGCCCGATATATTTCTGGTAAGACGCAGATCAGGTAAGAAATAGGGTATCCGATCAACCCATTTATTTTTAAATAAATGATCGGTGGCGACTCCAATCCACATTTTTCAAGTCGAAGCCCAATTCCGGGGCCCAACCGAAAGACGGTTACGACAATGACATTTGTATAAAAACGCCGCTAAAGTATTACTCTTTTGTGATATTTTTTGAAAAAACACCACTATAGATGAAACCTATTGCGGCATTTTTATACAATCGCCGCTAAAGGACTACTATGTCACGGCGTTTGTTTAAAAAAGGCCACTATAGATGAACCTATTGCGGCTTTTGTATAAAAACGCCGCTAAAGTACTACTATGTTGCGGCGTTTGTTAAAAAATGTCACTATAGATGAACCCTATTGCAACATTTTTATACAAATGATGCTAAAGTACTACTTTGTCAAGGCGTTTTGTATAAAACTGCAGCTAAAGTTACCATTTTGTGGCATTTGGAATGTAAACGCCGGTATATGTTTAAAGTTTGTGGCGTTTACTCTCAAAACGTTGTTAAAAACACCGTTGTAGAACAGTTTTGCTGTAGTGACTAATGTATGGACTGCTCATTTATGTATTTACATTTTATTTTAATGATTTAAAACTAACCTCCTTAAAAAATAATTTATTTCTTTTAATAATTTATTTTAATTATTTAAAAATAGATAAAATTTATGATTTATATATTAAAATATTAATAGCGAGTTATATAAATATATATTTTTATTATAATTATATTTTATATCGGGTAAATTACATGTTTTGTACTTAAACTATCATTTTTGGTCCATTTTAGTACCTAAACTTTCAATTTATTCAAAATCATACCTAAAGTTTATTTTTGTTTCATTTTAGTACCTAAACTTTCAATTTATTCAAAATCATACCTAAAGTTTATTTTTGTTTCATTTTAATACTTCATCGTTAAAAAATTTAGCTTTTGTTTCACTATAGTACCCCTGTTCAAAATTTACGTTAAGTTTTGAAAAGATTGAAAGTTTAGATACTTAAACGTATCAAAACTACTTCAGGTACTAAACACGTTAAGTTTTTAACGGCAGGGTGCTAAAATGAAAGGAAAACTAAACTTTAGCTAAGGTTTTAAAAATTGAAATTTTAGGTACTAAAACGGATCAAAATTAATAGTTTAAGTACTAAGAACATAGTTTACCCTTTTATATTTTTGTTATAATTTAAATTGATATAATTCATTTATAATAATAATTTTCTGAATTTATTATAGTTTAAATTGATATGATTCATATATAATTGTAAATATAATTTAAATTTTATATTTTTAATTTACAACATAATGTCTATAATGAATATTTTATATTTTCAAACTCAATTTTTAACAATAATCACAAATAATTTAAATTTAAATTACACTTTTATACATCACTTTTAAAAGTTCTTTTCTACTATACTTTAAAAAAAGTTTTTTTCAAAAGCTATACTAAACCGATCCTAATTAAATCTGAAAGTTTAAGCAAAACGATTTAGTTACTGACAACACCCGCACCCAACTAACCAACTTGTAGCTAACCACCATCCCACGCCCTCTTTGGTTGCTAGTCCTCCATCTCCGCCATATATGATCTTACAAAACGACAGGAAAAAGAGTAGGCCATTTCACAAAAAAAAAAAAAAAAATAGAGTGCAAGAAAGAGAGGAGTCACTAAGGCTTCGCAACAAGTTAAACCACCATCGAGCATCTTCAACACACCTAAATTCCCTATGATCCTGAACCTTAACCTGAATTACATCAATCCCCAAACCAACAGTCATTGGCATTAACAAAAGCCCCACCTTGTTCCTCTCAATACTACCCAAACCAACTTACCATTATCGTCCCACGGTCGTACCACCAAAAACCAAGCATCTCTGGCCTATGATAAATCAGTACTCAAATGAAATTTCTACAATTCTTCTTGAGACGTGTTAGAAAGAAGAAGAAAAATCAGTTTTAGAAGATTTTAACTTTAGACCTGAAATAAAAGAATATATATAAAATTGCTCTAATACACGATGAACTCTTAAAATAGAATATTTTATTGTTATTAAATGATTATACAAATGACTGGAATCGACATTGTCATTGATTTAAATTATGTTACAATCTTCTGGAAAGTACTTATGTCTCAAATGTGTTTCCTGTTTCTGACAGTGCATTCCACAGGTAGGCCCCGAGGGAATCGCTTTTCGTCTTTGCAGTAATTGTAAACCATGTAATTCCTTTGCACCCATTTCATCACTTTCTGACTGGAAGAATCCATCTCCTGCGAAAACCAGGCACTGTTATTCGAAGGGCAGCCTGAGTCTCCATTAGACCAGACACAAGCGTTAGCAGTGAAGTTCCTGAAAGAAGCTGTGAAAGGTGCCCGGCTCCAATCGGTCTTCACTAGACCTCCTCTCGTGGCCCAATCATCCGCGTTCCATATGCTACAGTACATTCTCATGGCTTGGATTTTCGGGTACGGAACTCCAGCTTCTTCCAGGTTTTTGAACTCTCTAATCGGTCTACCATCTACATAGAAACTGAAACAAATATTTGTGCCAACGCTGAGAAAAGAGTCGCAAGGCCAAGATCACATGCTGATCATCTTTATATGTACTTACATAACGTGTCCGGGATTCCACAGAATCGAGTAAGTGTGGAAATCAGCAGTGGGGTCGAACCACAGGTAGAATTGTTGCTCCCTGTCACCTTTGCCTTTCGTGTAAACATTAGTGTGAACGATGTAAGGATCATCGCTCAGGTTTCCCAAGAATTCGAAATCGATCTCGTCCGAAGACGATAAACTCAATAAATCGTATACCAAAAAAACAAACTTTTAAATGTATAAGATAATCGCTTACGTAGTAGCAGTGACGGTCCTGCAGAGTTGCCAGGCACAAGTTTCAGTTGCATATCGAACTTCCCGTACAGAAATTCATACTTGGATTGGAAGCCTGAACCAGAGGCTTTGTCGAGGGAGAGAGTAAGAAGCTGTGCGTCGTTGAGGATTTTTGCACGACCATCTCCCCATGTGATATCGACATCCTGGTTAAAGTTGCCTGCAGAGGCAACCATTAAAGTTTGAACCACGAGAGCACCAACGAGGAGCATTTGTAGAGCATTTGGAAGAGTGGAAACTGTATCCATTGGCTATAGGTTAGAGAATTGATGTAAGATTGAATTGTTGTTACACTATGAAAGATTTGAGGTTGTGGTTAGTTATTTATAGGAGAGCGGAGAATATTGGATATTGTAAGTTGGTTGTTGGGGTGATCTACGAACTGGACATCTGGATGGCATAAACAAGCACAATGATTATAACACAGTCCAATGGAAGGGATTTTCTAGGACCTATAATCTATAAGATTAGTTGCTTCCCAGGTTGTAAATGTGTAGTCAACCTACCCACAAATAAGCGTGTGCTGTGTTTCTAGTAGTTTCCAGCAAACAATGTATGAGTCGATCATATGCATAGGGACGATAAGGGTCGGATCCAATCAGATTTTTAGTTTTTTTGAACTTTATTAAAAAATATATATATATTTCTATTAGTAAAATTAGCCCAATAACGATAATACCAAAATATTTTGAAACATAGCGTTGGTGGAAATTTATTTTGGGATATGTGATATTTATATATATGTGAGTATGATAAATTGTCGAATTTTAATAAAATATAATTCTTTTATTAGAACTCATCATGTCCCCATGACAAGTTCTAAAAATATAATATATTTTATTAAAACTCGTCACACCCACATGACGACGTGACGAGTTCCAAAGCACTGTAAAAAATGTCATATATCTAAAAATATATTTGAAGGTGCCCTACTTCGTAATTAATTATTTCTCTTGTATTATTTAGCTGATTTCTTCCTTTCAATTATTATTTGATTCAAATCTAAAAATATTTCATCTAATCCAAAACTAGATTCTGATTTCTCCCCATGACACCAAGCAATTTTTTTTCTTCATATTTTTATATTATATTCAACTTAAATTATAGATATAATTAATCATAGTCAATAAATAATACATTTATATGTCAATGAAATATTTTTAATTTGTGTTACCTAATTTTTTGAACTCGTACTTAAAAAATAAATATTCAAATATATTAACATATAAAAAATATCTAATCTTAATTAATAAACCTTAATAATAAATATTAACCTAATGAAATTTAACAATAGTGTAGAAGTGAATTCATTAGTATAAAGATAATATAGAAAAGTTAAGGAATACTCATTATAACTTTTGTCATACATTATCATGAAACATAACCTAAACACTCCAATATACCTATATAAACTAACACCATTAGGCTTTTCGACTCATGAAACTAATATGTATTAAATTATGTTATTGGTCTCTATAGTTTTATTTTTTTAAAGTATATATTTTTTTAAATATGCTTTTAGGGAAGGCTCTCCTTATGAAATGTGCTTTCCCAAATGTGCTTTTGATGTGGCAAGAAAACCTCTAGAAGGCGCACCCCTTGCAAAGTGCCTTCTCACGTAGTGTCATGTCAACATTTATCCTATAAAACAATCGCCAGGGGACACGTCTTCAGTCCTGTAACAAACTCAATACCGGGTTAGTGACTAAATTGTAGAGTTTTAGAATTTGGTGATTAAAGTATAATAATTGATTAGTTCAAGGACTTATATGAAATGTTGTGTAGGATCAAATTGTAAAGAAGGAAGAATAGAAGAATAGAATGGTCTTTTGCAAGGAAAATGATTAAAGAAGGGATTTATATATTAGCTCCATGTGGAATAGAAGAAAGAAAAACAAGGTTCTAGAGTTCTCTTCTTCTCTTCTTTTCTCCCAAATGTGAAGACTCATAGAAAATGTGAGATTTTTCATAAGCTGATTGTTAGTTAAAATTTAAGTTTGGTTTTGATCCTTGGATGTTAATTAAGTTAAAGAAAGCTTAATTTGCTTTAAAACAACAAGATGAAGGGTGTAGGAAGAATTAAAGATTAGGAGTTCTTGAATGAAATTTTGAAATAAAGCTCATAATGAGAATTGGAAGTTGAATTTAACTTGTCACCAACTTGATTAAGATATACGAAGTGTTAGAACTAGATTCAGAACATGTTGGAATTTGAGTGAGATTCTTGAATTCTATGTGGAGGATTGGATTTTTAAGTTTAAGAGGTATTGAATGGGTTAATTGGTTTAAATAGGTGTATAAGAGTTAAGAATATTAAATGAGGTGAAAGATGAAGAGTTAAGCTAAAAAGCGAGTGAATTTCGTGCTTAAATGGAATTTATGGGTTGTGTGCATCGATGCATCTTCAATGTGTGTCAATGCACTCTCAAATAAATGAGCATCGAATGCAATTAGTGCATCGATGCACCCCCCTTCAAATACAAACATCGAAGGTGATTTGTGTACCGATGCACAGGTAGTGCATCGATGCACACGTTAAGGAATGCATCGATGCACTCTACAGTGTATCGATGCACTGTAGAGTGCATCGATGCATACCTTCATTAAAAGATGAAAATAGCTTTCTTTTAGCCTAAGGAGTGATAGTTTAGAATATATCAATTCGTATGCTGATAAGTATCAATGTATTACTATGTAGATATAGAACGTAATTTCGTTCCGGAACAAACGAAGGATTAGGATCGAGTCAAAACAAGCGAGGCCAAGGTGAGTGCATATCCTAGATAGAATTACATTGAGATAAGACTTGCGATAAGTCTATCTCTTTTAATTGAATTTATGATTTCATATTCGTGTACATGCATACATATATATGTGTTAATGTTATAGTAATTTCATGCATATTTCATTTGTGATTTAACATGATATTATATGAATGAATACCATTATCAAAGAATCCTTCCAGGTATGTGAAATAATGGAAATAATCATATGAAGTGACCTATGTGTTTACATGGACAGTGATGAAAGAGATATGAAATGAGAAAAATATTTATAATTAAGCCAATGTTATTTAATATGAGAGCTATAGGTATAATTGGCATACCAAGAGTCGAGGGATATACAATGGTCCTTCGGGACATAGTGGTCATTCGGGACAAATATTCAGTGCCCCTAGTGGGATTTTATTCGAGCTGTGGTGACAGTATTGTGCACAACCTCAGTGTACTCGCGTACCTTCTGTTCTCAATAATGTACATGGGCGATCCAAAGATAAATTAAAGTGAAATTAGCATAAGAGTATATTTTTATATGTGCATGTCACCATCATATATGTTATAGTGTAATAGATGCATGCAAATGAAAATGGCATGATCAGATGGTAAGAATGCACATTCATGAATGCATTGTTATATCTATATGTTTGAATTATGCCTCACTAACTCTGTGACTTAGCGTGTAAGTGATTTACACGTAGGTACCAAGAATCGGGAATAATAGAAATAGGAGTGGCAAGAACAGCAGCACTGCTAGAAGATCATATCAGAAGTAACTGATAAAGTATGTATTTTGTTGTGTATACTGTGTTGGCATATAAGAAAAGTGTCAGTTATGAATGCTCTGATCGATTTTGTTTATTCTGGTCAATTTATGTAAATAAACTACTTTTATTTTAATGAAAGTTTTAAATTTCCTTGATTTTCGTCAAGAGTCAAAGTTTGAAAAGTCAATGTGACACCTCAGACTCGTATCCGGGTCGGGTACGGGTTGAGGATGTTACATTTAATGGTATCAGAGCTACAGTTTTGTCGATTCTCGACATAAACCGAAGTCTAGAGTGTCCCATAAGGTATACATGCCAATAAAATAGTGAAAACTTCTGATCTGATATAATAATAAGTATGATGTTTTGCTGATAGAATGATATGGGTATGTTTTTATAGATGTCCAGACATTGTAGCTCTAGAAGTGAAGCGAGAGACGATAGGCCCGCTGAAAGCAGTAATTCGCATGCCCTGTCTAGGAAGAGTGAAGATCAGACACCCTCTGGATTGCCTGTGAGTGATCAAAATGTGTTCTTCAGAACACTAGACGCGGTATTGGCGTGTTTTCAACCTTCTGTTTCTTCAACTCCGAGAATGAATGTTGCAAAGGAGTTGAAGGGTTTAGGAGCACCAGAGTTTAGAGGTGAAGCCGAAGAAGGACCTGTTGTTGCAGACATTTGGCTTAATGATGTGAAAATTATGCTTGAGGGACTTCATTGTTCTGATTTTGACAAGCTGAATGGAGTAGTATCTTTGCTCCGAGGGCAAGCCAGGATTTGGTGGATCAATGTTACATTAAGAATATCTGGTGATCAAGTAACTTGGTCCTTGTTCCTAGAGGAATTCAAACATAAATACATTGGAGATCAGTTCATCCGATAAATGAAACAAGAGTTTATGAATATGAAGCAATGGAACCGTACAGTTTATGAATACGAGTGTGAATTCAACAAGTTGAGCCACTTTGGTGTCGAGCTTATTCCTACAGAAAAGGATGTTTGTGATTCGTTCGTGGAAGGTTTACGTCCAAGACTGAAGGAAATGTTAATTATATTAAATCTATTCTCGTTTCAAGAAGTGGTGAATCGTGCTAAACCTTTGGAAAGAGCTCAGAATGAGAGGTTTGGAGATTTTCGAGCTCAGACATCGAAAAGATCGCACGCATTATCGAGTGTTGCACCATCAAAAAGGGGCAGAGATGTTGGTTCTCGATCTCAAGTGAGATCAGAGTCTGTGGCATCCTCTACGAGGGGATCAAATATGATAAGGGGACGACAAACACAATCAGTGGGATCTGAAGATGGAAGATCTAACCCGACCCAAGTCAGACAATGTCCGCATTGTGGAAAGAATCACTCGGGGATTTTCAGGATGATTTTTGGAGCTTGCTTTAAATGTGGGGACACCGGGCCTTTTCTTAGGGATTGTCACATGTTAGCTGGTGGATCTGCTCAGCCAGAGAGGTCTGCCTCGGTTACCTAGAGAGGAAGAGGCAGAGGAAGAAGTCAATCAGAGTCATCAGCTCCCCAAGAGATATGTTCTACAGCTCATGTGTATAATCTCAAGACTAGCGAGGATCGAGATGACCCAAAGATAATAGAGGGTATCTTTCAGTTGTATGACAAGAATATATTTGTATTGATTGATTCGGGGTCTACGTATTCTTACATTTATAGTAAGTTAGTGAAAGAATTGAATATTCC